GTGCAGTGGTGCAATTGTAGCTCACTGCAGCCTCAAACTCCTGGGCTCAAGCAACCCTCCTGCCTCAGCCTCCCGAGTAGCTAGGACTACAGGTGTGTGCCACTATGTAATTTAAAAATTTTTTTAGAGACAGGGTCTCGCTGTGTTGCCCACAGTCATCTCAAACTCCCAGGCTCAAGCGATCCTCCTGCCTTAGTCTCCTAGGACTATAGACTCACACCACCACAACTGGCTAATTTTTTTCTATTTTTAGAACAGACGGCCTCTCACTCTTGTTCAGGCTGGTCTCAAACTCCTGAGCTCAAACAACCGTCCCGCCTCAGCCTCCCAGAGTGCTAGGATTACAGGTGTGAGTCACTGCACCTGGCCAGTGGGGCCCTGTTTTAAGAGTAGCCACCCAGACTAAGGGGCAGTAGAGCACAGGGGTTAAAGGGCTCAGGTTCTAGAGCTAGGCTACTGGGTATGGATCTCAGTTTTCCACCATCACTTTGTAGGAGAGGAAAGATTTCTTTTCTCATCCATCACTGGGTTCATGGCTGAGGCCCTATAACTGCTTCAGGGGAGAAGAGTGGGTTTTACAGCCTGCTTCAGAGGAGAAGAGCAGTGGAAGGTGAGAGAGACCTTCCTGCTTCTGTTTTCTCAAACACCCCAGGGTGCTATATTTTGGGGTAGCATGTCCTGAACTTGCTGTGTGCCTTTGGGCAATTTATTAACGTCTTTGAAACCTAAGGCTCAACTATAAAATGGGGATTAATAATAGGATCTATTTCTTGGAGTTGTGAGGATGCAGTCAGAGAATCACGTAAAGCCCTTAGCACATGTGCTTGTTCAATAAATGTTAGCTGTTTCAATCTTTATTTTATTAGTGTTGTCACTACTTCCATATTTATGGTTCGCCTTGATCTTTTAATATATAACAATATTGGCATTAGGTGACTTTGTTTTAAAAATATGTTTTGATAAATGTGAGTTTATAAAAATTTAAATTGACATGGTAAACATTATCATAAAGTCAAAAGACAAGTGACAAACTGAGGGGAAAGTGTATGTACATTTTGTAACATAGACAAAAGGGTTCATTTCCCTAATATATAAAGAACTACAACTCAATACAAAAGGGATACTTGTAAACCTTTTTATGGTGACATATTTCCACTTACCTGTGCTTCAGATTTCTTGTCTTTAATGCATATCCTCAGAGCCCCCCAGGAAACTTCTACATTGGAGAAGGGCTTGGGAACACACAGCCAGTCAGTGTGATGCAGCCAGAGTTTGTAAGCAAACCTGAACCTGTTGTTTTCTCCCTTAAAATAGCTCCCTCTCAGAAATGCTCTGTTACTGTCAGTGGCACCCTTACCCCCATTTACCTTTCATTGCTGATTTTTCCTGTCTCCTCCTCATCTAGCAGGTCACTGGGCCTTTTCTGTGTTTTGTTCCTAGTATTTCACATCTGCTGTGCCCCAGTCTTTCCAGGCCTACTGCTGCTGTTTTTGGTTAAGAGATACTCCACATCTTCCTCATGACCAAACCACTACCATTGTCTCCTTTCTATTTTTTCTCTTGTTTCCCTTAATAACGATTCTCCCTTCTTGTGTCTTTCCTGCTGCTTCTTCTGCCAAACATCTAAGCTGTCTGCTTGGCCCGGTCCACCATGCTCATTCCTGCCTTCATGCTGCCCTCCCTCCTCCCTGCTGGTTCTGTGCTTGCCACTAGGCCCAGCCTGGTTCTGGTCTCCTCCAGGTGGCTTTCCTGGGTGCCCCCACCCACAGCGTCCCTTGCTTCCTTACTTCCCACTGCATTTGTTGATTGTTCCTCTCATCTGACGCTTCACCTTTGCTGTCCATGTTGTTTTAGGTGAACTTTTTCATTGAAGTAGAACGTACATACGGAAAAGTATACAGATCACAAAGTAAAGCACTCAGTGACTTTCCATAAGTTGCACACACCCATGTCATCAGCGTTCCTCTCTTCTAATACGTACTTTATCTCCCCAATGCGATAAGCACCTGGGAGACAGAACCACATCATGTGCCTCTTGGCATAAAAGTGCATATTATCAGGTGCTCAGCGATATTTGAGATCAGGAACTGGAGCTAAGAAAGAGATCTAGGCTTTGACAAATAAGAAACATGAAGAAATGTACCCCAGGCTCCTTGATTGGAGGTAATACAATTTTGCTAAGTCCTATTCGGGGATTCCTTTGTGATAACCTATAAATTAGACCTCTAAATCCAGTCTAGACAAGTGCATGTCATAGTTTTCTCTTTTAAGACATGGAAGTGTACACAGAGATCTACAGCATTAGTTTTAGTTGTAATTTCGTTCAACAAATATTTATTGATCGTATGCAGTCTACTACATACTGTTATGGTGTATAGTAGGATTCATCTCCTCCCTCTAGAGCTTATATTTTAGTGACTCACTAGAAATAATTGACAGAACTAAAAGAAAGGCTTAAGACTAAAGATATAACAATGACCTAACAATAAGATAACTATGAAAAATTGTTTACTAAATCGTTGTAAACATATGGAGAGAACAAGAACAGAGTTAGGAAAGGCTAAAATGAAGATTGGCACCAGCATGAGGGACTTCTGGATAAGCAATCCATTTGATGTGACATCATCACAGGGTGTGAAAGAAGATGGCAGCTTATGAAGGGAAGAGAAATACTAGGGTAACGAGTGGAGAGATAACATAATAAGAAATGCCAAATTTTTGGTAGCACTTTATGGTTTATAAGGTACTTTTATTTCTTCTTCTTCTTTTTTTTTTTCTTGAGATAGAGTCTTGCTCTGTCATCCTAGCTAGAGTGCAGTGGCATCATCATTGCTCACTGCAACCTTAAATTCCTGGGCTTACACAATCCTCCTGTCTCAGCCTCCTGGGACTACAGACTCATACCACCACACCTGGCTAATGTTTTCTATTTTTAATAGAGACAGGGTCTCCCTCTTACTCAGGCTGGTCTCAAACTCCTGAGCTCAAGTGATCCTCCTGCCTTGGCCTCTCAGAGTTCTAAGATTACAGGTGTGAGCCACCACATGCCCAGTCTATTTCTTATTATTATTGGGTCGTTACCCATTATGACCTTTTGCCCATTGTGGGGTTGGTAGAGTAGGTGGTGTCATCTGTCTGCTGTACTGTCACACAACTTCCAAACTTCCATTCTAAGTTTAGAATCTCACTTCAGCACTTTCTACAGCCCGCTCCTCTTGCCCTCTGGAGTGTGATAATGTATGTTTAGTCTTCTCAATAAATTTGTCTATTATTGCATTGCAGTCACATCCCAGCTAACTTCATTGCCATGTTTACTGTCTCCCTTAATCCTGAAGCAGGAGAATCCCTCTGGCAAATCATGCCTTCTGGGGGTCACGGGCACAAGGCAGAGCGAAGTCATGGGTGGGTCACTTCCGGTGCCTCACTGTGGCATCCCCATTCCTTGGAAACACGGACACAAAGAAAAGAGGGTAGAGGACCCACAGGCTGCCAATCCTCAAAAAGTAACTTGTTGAAAGTATTATGAGTTTCCTTTTGGTTTGGTTTTGTCTCGTCTTTTATTGCCTCTTTGGCTATGGCTTTTCTGTACCTAGAAGGCTTCAGTTTGCAGAGCTATAAATCTGTCAGTCTCGGCAATGCGTCTTTCACTTCAAATTAATGCTCAGCAAAGGGCTTAGCAGATAACTGTCTCAGGCTGAATTTCTTCACACAAAAGGTTGGATATGGTTTGAACAGACTGCCAAAGCCAGGAAGAGAAGTTAATTGTGTAAATCAATGCAGACAAGAGCTGGTCACCTTTCTGAAAGACAAGACAATGCAGCACACAACCTCTAAATAGATCTTTGGGGTCAAGTTGATGTCATGTTGAAGAATCAATATTTACTAAGCTTTATAAAGTTAGCCTTTAATGAACCTCAGGCATTTTGCTAGGCCATTAATTGCAGGAAGAGGAAAGGCGACCATGGCTGAAGTCCATGTGTATGGAGGTTGTATAAAAATAAGTGAAGAGACAGTCACTCGTCTATGCAAAGGTCCCACCTTTAGGCTCCACTCAAGCATTGTTGGGTACACATATTAAAAGGCTTTCTTGGAATCCTGCTAACATTTTTAAAAAGAATAATTCTTTCATCCTAACCGAAGAAGGGAAGCCCTTTATTCTTTGTCTTGGTATCCAGGGAGTATGGCTGTATCTTCCTTGGATGATTCTGATGTCATTTTGGATTCTGATTTACAAATGTGCTAATCACAGAGTCAGATCTTAGAGTATGGCTTATCCCTCCTTCTGACACATTTGAAAGCCTTTATAAAGTGGGGGATTATGGTAAAAAGTATTTAGGATGTTGGCTTGAATCCAAGTCTAATTAAAGGTTTTTGATAAATATCATTTGCACTTGTTCTGTCATCCAGTAGGAGTGAACACCGTGCTCACTTCTGGTTGTTTTATGTGTGTCAGTGTTCTGCGCTGCTCACTGGGTTGTCTGAATCATTTGTGGGTCAGGAGCCTTATCTTCTATTTATTTTAGTCAGTGTTCCTTATAAATGTTGTTGACAAGATAGAGGCATGTGTTACATCGGATTTAATCCTGGCTGTGGCAACACGAGGATCCTCTTGCATCCTCCGTGGTCAGTAACCAGAAGTCAGAAGCAGCTTTGGCAGGCCCTGCAAATCAGGGTGTGGCCCCACAATTTTTGTTACATGTTCTTGATCATATCTGCTCAGTAGATCAGTTTTAGATTTGACTTTCCAGATCTCCTTCTCTAGTGCATTTTGTCAGGGGTGACTTTAGAATTAATCAGAGGGAGGAACGGGCTGTTTTTTTCTCACTCCCACCCTCATTCCTCCTCACCAGGATCATTATTCAGAAAAAATACTGAAAGAAAAAGCATGAGAGGTTTGTTGGGATTGTTGTGGTTTGGTGTTTTTATAAAAGAATCTGATGTTTACTATTTTCATCTATAATTTTCTTTAAATATTCATTCTGGGGTTTTATTCTTTTCAGTTGTTTGAAAACTTCTACTTTGGTTCCCTAAAGCTCAACTCCATTCACATCTCTCAGAGGTTCACAGTAGACAACTTTGGAAACTACGCCTCCTGTGGACACATCGACTTCTCCTGAGGTGGATCTTGGAGAGCAGGAGAAATTGAACATCCTCACAAGATCCTGAAGAAAAGTATCTTCATTTTACTTGCTAAAGAGGGATGTGGAAACTGGGATGATGACTTTCCTGGGTGATTCTCTGTGGACTCACCATTGCTTCTGTTGGCTGTCCATGGTCATCAGACTTTCAGCCAAGAGAAGGAGAACTTGGCCTTGTTCTTTCTTATTTTTTTATTGTGGTAAAATATATATAACATAAAATTTACTGTCTTAGCCATTTTTAAGTGTGCAGTACAGTGTTATTAAATGCATCCATAATGGTGTGCAACCATCACTACCATCTATCTCTGTAATGTTTTCATCTTGTAAAACTGGAACTCTATACTCATTAAACAATACCTGGCAACCACCATTCTACTTTCTGTCTCTATGATTTTGACTACCCTGAGTATCTCATATAAGTGGAATCACACAGTATCTGTCTTTTCGAGACTGGCTTATTTCACTTAGCATAATGTCCTCAAGGTTCATCCATGTAGTATACTGTGACAGGACTTCCTTTCTTGTTTAGGATGAATAATATTCCATTATACGTACATACCACATTTTGTTTATCCATCGCTGGACACTCGGGTCGCTTCCACCACTTGCCTCTAGTAAATGGTGCTAATACAAACATGGCTGTGCATACATGTATCTTTTTGAGACCCTGCTTTTAGTTCCTTTACTACCCTGAATTTTACCTTTACCAAAATAACCATTAAAGTTGTTTTCCTTTTACTTTGCTTGATCTGTCCTTTTTCTTCTGAAGTTAGTCCTTTTAAAAAATATTTGTGCTGGATTCTTGTTCCTTCACCCCATCCCCCGTCGCCTTCCCATGCCCCTGCTGGAGTTGCAGTATTGTTGCTCCTTTCTGTTGACTTCTCAAGGCAGCAGCAACAGATAGATGATGATATCAGCAGGACAGTGCAGAGTGTCGCCACAGAGGACACTCCACAGACCAGCCGAGGCAGGGAGTGCTCCCAGCTCCAGCTTTGCCCCAGTGGTCTCAAGAGTTCTGCCAGGTGCTCTGCTGGGGACCTCTAGCCTCACGTTTTTCCTCCCTGCATGTCCTCTCCTCCTCCCCTCCTTTGCTCCTTATTCTTAATTCTTTCTGTCCTGTAAGTTTGCTTTTGAACCTGTGTGTTAAGGTCGTTACATTGTGAAGACTGTGTCTGACACCCAGAGATTTGTTTATCAGTGGGACTGCACAGATCATTTGTGAATAATTGAATTTCCAAAGTAACTGTGTTTTTCTATTAGTATCACATAGTTTTAATTTGACCCCCCTAGTCGGTGCATGTTGGGATACAGTGTTGCCATAACTCATTCACTGGCATAGTTGTATCATGCATCAAGGACTTACATATTGGTGCCTGCTCACAGGGCTGATTTTTCCCAAAAGTCCTCTGCTTTCTACTGGTGATAATAATTTTTATTCAAGTTGAGATTTTAACTCACCTCAGATTGTGGGTGGGAATGAGTGCTTCCGGGGGTAGTACTGCTCTCGAAGCTGACTGTGGAGTTTAATGCCCTCATCTCTTGGTGCTGCCTCTGTCACTGTTTGCTTTCTGACGAGCCATTAGGTAGCCTTGGCCAGTAATTAAAGGTGTCCTCTTTTGGATGTCAGAGATTTACACCTTATGTTTGTAGGAAATTTTTTTTAAAGTTTTGTCTTTGGAAAATGTAACTTTACATATCAAATATTAAATTCTCAATAGAATTGGAAATTCTGTTATTTAGAATTTAGTGGTTATTATTCTCTATACATGTAAGCATATATTGTTAGGTAATGTTTCACAAGTTGTTTGCCTTTTTCATTCTCATTCTTTTACAAGTATAAAGTAGAGTTTTCCAGAGGCTGTGTGACTTGGTGACATCATCACTCTGGAATGTATGCTTGTGTATGTTTGTGTTTTCTAAAATTACATAAATTGGTAGGGATTGGTAGAATTCAAAAAATGTTAAAATCATCTTTAAAAAAATTTTTTTTTTTTTTTTTGAGACAGGATCTTGCTCTGTCACCCAGACTAGAGTGCAGTGGCATCATCATAGCTCACTGGAGCATCAATCTCCTGAGCTCAAGTGATCCTCCTGCCTCAGCCTCCTGAGTAGCTGGGACTATAGGCACACGCCAGAACACACAGCTAATTTTTGTATTTTTTGTAGAAATGGGGTTTAGTTCTTAGGCAGGTCTTGAACTCTTGGCCTCAATCCATCCTTCGGCCTTGACCTCCTGAAGTGCTAAGATTACAGGCATGAACCACTATGTCTGGCCAAATTTTCTTTTTAGAAGTCTGTAGACAAATTTTGGGGATAGTGCAGCTCTAAAAGAAATACAGTCTTAACTGCTATTTAGAAAGTGCTGGTGACAACAGGTAGTTTTGATGTAGAATTTTTATGAAAAAGCAACAGTGGTAGAGAGCAAATAATTTTTAATGGAACTAAAAGTTTTCAAGATTCAGGGCCCCCCTCACAAGATTGTAATGGGGACATAGTAAGTTACCTCGAGCGAAGTCCATATGCATGGTAGACACGTTAAAAATACTACTTCTAATGATTATTTAAAAAGTGAGGCTGGGCGCGGTGGCTCACGCCTGTAATCCTAGCACTTTGGGAGGCCGAGGCGGGCGGATTTCGAGCTCAGGAGTTCGAAACCAGCCTGAGCGAGACCCCGTCTCTACCAAAAATAGAAATAAATTAATTGACCAACTAAAAATATATATACAAAAAATTAGCCGGGCATGGTGGCGCATGCCTGTAGTCCCAGCTACTCGGGAGGCTGAGGCAGTAGGATCGCTGAGCCCCGGAGATTGAGGTTGCTGTGAGCCAGGCTGACACCCCGGCACTCACTCTAGCCTGGGCAACAAAGTGAGACTCTGTCTCAAAAAAAAAAAAAAAAGTGAGCTCTGGAGTTTCTTAAACTGGACATCATAATGGTACAGATTCGGTTCAGGTTTGCTCTTGCACTATACTCTTTTTCTTGGAGCTAAAGGGAAGCCAATGGCATCAGAGGTGTATTAAGTTGACCCAACAGAACACTGAGGGAGCCTGCACGTCAAAGCCCACGGCTAGTACAAGTGAGGATAGCAGCTGCTATTATGGAGGGTTTTATTAGTAGCATTTCTCTCTTTTTAAAACAAAGGTAAAATAAGTTTACCTTTGTGAAAAATTATCAAACTATACATTTATGCTTTGTGATTTTATCAGTATGTATGTTACACGTCAGTTTAAATGCTTAAAAAATAAATTTCATCACCCAGAGTTAAATACTCCCTATGCATTTAAGCACATACCAATTATGAGAAATTAAGTATAATAATTTTTCACAAATAATAACAGCTAATACTAGTTGGAATGATCATATTTGTCACTAGTTTATGCATTAACTCAAATCTTTACAACAGCCCACTTAAGTTGGTATTATTATTCTCATTTTTACAAACTGAGGCTTAACAAGGTTAAGAAATTTGCCTAAAGTCATACACCTGGTACCAGTGGTTTTCCAAGTGTGGTCTTTGTGCTTCTAGGAGCCTCCGAGAACCTTTTAGATAAGGTTGGTGAGGTCCAAACTATTTTCATTAAAAACAACACCAAGGTATTATTTGACTTTTTCTCTCACATTCTCTCAAAAGTGTTCAGTGGCGTTTTCCAGAGGCTACATGATGTGGTACTACTTTGACAGTTAATGGAACGTATGCTTGTATATTTTTGTTTTCTAGAGTTTTGTGAGTAGGTAGGTTTAGGGTATAAATATGCATGTTTTCAGAGATTGATTCAGTTCACTGTCAGTACTTCTCCTGTAATCTTACTAGCCATTTTCATTTATACCTGCTGCTGTGGGCTGAATTGTGTCCTCCCCAAAATTTATGTGTTGAATCCCTAACCCCCAGTACCTCAGAATGTGACTGTTTATTTGGAGATAGGGGCTTTAAAGAGGTGATTAAGTTAACATGAAGCTGCTACAGTGGGCCCTAATCCAATCTGAATGGTGTCCTTACAAGAAGAGGAAGTTTGGGCACACAAAGAGATGCAAACTAGTGCATGCACAGGGAAAGAAGCATGTGAGGACACAGTGAGAAGGTGGCGGTCTTGCAAGCCAAGGAGGCCTTGGGAGAAACCAAACCTACTAAAAGTTTGATCTTGAACTTCTAGCCTCCAGAACTATGAGAAAACAAATTTTCTGTTGTTGAAGCCACCTTGTCTGTGGTATTTTGTTATGGCAAGCCCTAGCAGGCTGATGTGCTTGCCATAAGGCAGAAGCTGATCGGAGAATCTACTTGTCTTCTTCTAAGCCAGACAGTAAAGAGATTTGTAAAAATGTAAAAATCGTGCCACTCTTTGAGTTTTTTTGGGGAAATCATAGTTGCTTTTCATAAAATATTTTATTTTTAATATGAAATGGGCAATTACTATTTTTAAATAAATTAACAAAAATTAAAATTAGTTTATTGATCCATATATAACTCATATAAACAAAAGTTCTTTGGGGTCCTCAATAATTTTTTAGTATAAAGGGCTCTTGACAGCAGAAAGTTTGAGCATTGCATTTCTATACTGTACTTCCTTCCAAATGGGATCATATTATACATGATCATTTATAATAAGCTTTTCGCACCCAGTAATACATAGTGGATCACATTGGGTTTTTTTTTTTTTAGCTTTTTAATTTTTACTACTTACAAAAGCTTCATTTTCTTATTTAGCTTTCTGAATCTGCTTGTGCCTTCAACACTTTCACAAGGATTTTAGTCTCCTTGAGGAAAGTACGCTTGATCCTGTGATGAACACATCAGCACACATGGAACCCCCACAGGCACTACTGACATGTTTTTTTGTTTTAGGCAACTTCATAGGAACTTCAGGTCTCACAGCATGAACCCCTCCAAGTCTGCCTGGGCACACGGCACATGCAGATTTTGGTGCTGTCCCAACCTTCTTGGTATAAAGGTAAATAATTCCATTACCAGGAGGTGAGGACAGCCTAGTTTTGTTAGAGGCTGTATTGTAGGAAAGCCTACTACAGTACATCAGATAGTGGGCCATTCTGAGTGCCTCCAGACAGCATCCCCGGAAAAGGGAAAAGAGCACGTTGGTTTGCAATAGATAAAGATCTACATCATTCTATTTGTTTGTTTGTTTCAGAAACAGAATCTTGCTCTGTTGCCCAGGCTGGAGTGTAGTGGCATGATCATAGCTCATTGCAGCCTTGAACTCCTGGCCTCAAGCATTCTGACCTCAGCCTCCCAAGTAGCTGGGACTACAGGTGTGCGCCATGCCTGGCTAATTAAAAATAATTTTCTTTGTTGAGACGGGGTCTTGCTATTTTGTCCAGACGGTCTGGAACTCCTGGCCTCTAGTGATCCTCCTGCTTCTGCCTCCCAAAGTGCTGGGATTACGGGCATGAGCCACCATGCCCTGCACATCATTATTTTTAATGTCTGCACAATGGTCCATTGTAGGTATGTCTTATGTTAATAATTGGACTAGTTATTTCCTGACTAATGGACATTGAGTTGGTTTCCAGATTGGGCTATTATGGATAATTCTGGATTGAACATCTTTGTGCATTACCTTTTTTTGCTTGTAGAGTCGTCTAGAAATGGCATTAAATGGTTTCCAATATGTAGAGTTAAATTTAGGTCTATTATTAGGAAACTAAGGTTTTTCTTTTCTGTTTTATATAGCTAATTATTGAATGTAAACACAAAAATGCATAAAATATATATGCCATTTAACACATATACCCAGTGGTTTCTTATGTTTGAGGCCATTGGTTTGAAAAGGCTGACCTGCCAGTAATTCTCTCAAAAATTAGGAAAACCTTTTCTTCTTCTTCATAAGTTAAAATTATTGGCCCTTTTCTACAACTGTTATACCTGTCATGTGGAAATTTGGATTCTTCCTCCTAAACAGCATTACTATTGGGTTAACCAACAGTCCTGGACTGTTGTTGACTTGCTTTCAGCACAGGGCTAATATTGACCCAGCTTGAAGGCACTGCAGGAAGCCAATCCCATTGGAGGAGCTGCCCAGGAGTGTGGGAAACATTTTAACTTTCAAAAGTCTGGGGAGGCCGGGCGCTGTGGCTCACGCCTGTAATCCTAGCTCTTGGGAGGCCGAGGTGGGCGGATTGCTCAAGGTCAGGAGTTCAAAACCAGCCTGAGAGACAGGTATTGTCTTATTGATGGGCATTTTATCAACACCTTCCAAATTCTTTATTCAGCAACTTCAGTAACTCTGGAAGTCCAGGGCTTCCTAAGATAGTACTGAAATGAGAAAGCAATGGTAACTAGGATCTATCTCCTAAATGCCAAAAACCAGGATTGAGACAGTGGGGAAAAATGGCAAAGTCTTGGTAAATCTTCAAAACTATGGATATTAATAGCCTTCTCTTCCCAACCTAAGGAAGAACTACTAACATTTTTAAATGCCTACTATGCCAGGTACTTAGTTTGTAATTTGTTTGAGTTTCATCACAATCCTATGGGATAGGGGTATTATCATTAATTTAGATAAAAAATAATGTAACTTGCCCAAGGATCCAGCCAATAAGTGGACTCTCCCCCATCCCATCTATAATGATAGCAGCCTACTTTTCCAGTATACTGCAGCCACTGTACAGCCTAGGAAGACTGCTTTATTTTACTGTAAGAAGAAGACATCAATGGCTAGGCCTCATTGCAGCACCACCACTGAATCCAGCTGCAAAGAAACAAGAAAACACGGAAAAGGAGCTATTGTTCCTGTTTTCCCAAGGGGACTCCAGCCCAAGCCAAGGAGGCATTCAAAGTCAGGCAGGCGAGAGAGACTCAGGGTACCTATGAACCTTGTAACCTGTGTTTTTCCTACCGATTAAGATCATGTTTTCAGTGCTTTTGATTTTTTAGATCACAGCAGCCAAGTCTTTTTATAACAACACAATCTAGGGCTTGGGTCCCAAAAGTTCAATATGCTTTGTCCTGTCAGATTATCTGTTCCTCTTCAATTTATTTGTAATGTAAACTCCCCCATTTCTGCGTGATTCTGGACTGTGCCAGGCTCCAGCCTGCACCAGCTGGTTTGTCAACACATTTCTACAGGCAATGAGGAGGGTCACAATTTTAACAAAAACTTAAACACCTCAAACAACAAAGCCAGCCTCCCTCCCAACACCCCCTTTCCCAGCAGCTTATTAAAACTAACTTGAAGTCAGACCGTGAGCAAATGTGCCTTTTCCAAATTAGTGGCCCCAAGACAGCGAAATGGTCAGGCATTTGCCTTTAGGGTCGCCCTAGGAAGAGCTAACAAAAGGGGTGACAGCTCTAAACAGCTGCTGAGGAGGAGGACATCTGCCTCGGTCCCACAGCCATTCAGTGCTCAGCCTTGCCTCGAGAAAGGCATGTGCCACAGGGGAGCAATAGTTCTGAGGCAGCCAGTTGTTATATGGCTTTTGTCTTAACGAAGCCACCCATTACTGCACAGCCATAACTCTCGGAAGCCAGCTGCCAGGGCTGTGGCGCAGGCCCTCGGGTGGGAGGCAAGGGAGAAAAAGTGTTTGCCAAAATTCCTTTTAGACACTGAGCCTGGCTTTGTAACTGGACAGTTGCTCTTCTCCCCAATCTGTCTTCCCTGGGAGACCCCTGGCCCTTCTTGCTCTCCACCTTGGAGGGGCTCAGGGACATCTCAGATTCTGATGATTGCTTGCTCTGCGACTCCCTGCGTGCGCGGTGGCTCGGCACCATCTTTTTTT